CTATAGGGCAGGGAGTGCCTCTATGGGGCAGGGAGTTCCCCTATAGGGCAGGGAGTGCCTCTATGGGGCAGGGAGTGCCCCTATGGGGCAGGGAGTGCCTCTATGGGGCAGGGAGTGCCCCTATGGGGCAGGGAGTGACTCTATGGGACAAGGAGTGCCCCTATGGGGCAGGGAGTGCCTCTATGGGGCAGGGAGTGCTCCTATGGGGCAGGGAGTGCCCCCTATAGGATAGGGGAGTGCCTCTATAGGGCAGGGAGTCCCTCTATGGGACAAGGAGTGCCCCTATGGGGCAGGGAGTGCCCTGTAGGGCAGAGATTCCCCCCTATAGGGCAGGGAGTGCTCTATGGGACAGGGAGTGCCCTATGGGATAGGGAGTCCCCCCTATAGGGCAGGGAGTGCCCCTATAGGACAAGGAGTGCTCCTATAGGGCAGGGAGTCCCCTCTATAGGGCAGGGAGTGCCCCTATGGGACACGACATGGGGGACACGGGGGACACGGGGGACACGGACACGAGGACAGGGGGACACGAGGACAGGGGGACACGAGGACAGGGGGACACGGGGGACACGGGGGACACGGGGACACGGACACGAGGACAGGGGGACACGGGGGACACGGGGGACACCCCCCCAGCCCCGGGTGCCCCGTGCCCCCCTCCCGGTGCCAGCCGGGGGCCAGCTGTGGCCTGGCGCGGCTCCTGCGCTGCTGGCACGGGCTGGGGCTGCGGAGGGCCCGGGGGGGGCTGGCACCGAGCGCGGTTTGGCCACTGGCCAGGCCGGGGGGGGGAGGGGCCGGGGGCACAGCTGGAGCCTCGGTCCCGGCGGGCGGTGGCCACTGGCCCCAGCCCAGGGCTACCAGGGCACCCAGGGGGGGTCCCGGTGCCACCGCGGGGGGCGAGTGACAATCCCGGGGTGTCGCAGCCCGGGGCTTGGGCTGAGGGGGGAGGAAATGGGGGTCTGGGATAGGGAAAGGGGGCTCGGGGTTCGGGGTTTGGGGTTCGGGGGTTTGGGGGTTCGGGAGGTCCCGTTTTGGGACAGGGAAACGGGGTTTGGGGGGTTTGGAAGGTTCCATTCTGGGACAGGGGTTTGGGGGTTCGGGGATTTGGGGGTTCGGGATTTGAGGGTTCGGGGGTTCCATTCTGGGACAAGGAAGGGGGTTCGGGGTTTGGGGGTTCGGAGATTCGTGGATTTGGGGGTCCGGGGAGGTTCGGGGATTTGGAGGTTCCATTCTGGGGCAGAGGTCTGGGGGTTCGGGGATTTGGGGGTTCGGGGATTTGGGGGTTCGGGGGTTCCGTTCTGGGGTCCCCTCGGGCTCTGTTTTGTCCCCCCTGCAGCACCTGGGGCCCTGAGCAGCCCCAGCTCGGGGGGGATTTGGGGTTTGGGGGTCCCGGGGGAGCCGCGGCCCTCGGGGAGGGCTCAGCTGGGCTGGGCTGGGGGAGACCCCCGGGGGGGCAGAGCCGAAACCCCGGGGGGGCTCCGGGAGGGGGAACAAATCTCGGGGGGCTCTGGGGGACAACCCTGGGGGGGCTCCGGGGGGGAGAAATGGGGAGCGGATAAAGGGGGAGGAGCTGCAGGAACCCAAATCCCGACACTCCTCCAGCCAGGGCAGAGTTTATTCCGCTCAGGATCCTTCCCTTTCCATCCCAAAATCCTTCCCTTTCCATCCCAAAATCCTTCCCTTTCCATCCCAAAATCCTTCCCTTTCGAAATCCTCCCCTTCCCATCCCAAAATTCTTCTCTTCCATCCCAAAATCCTTCCTTTCCGTCTCCAAATCCTCCCTTTCCATCCCAAAATTCTTCCCTTTCCATCCTAAAATTTTTCCCTTTCAAAATCCTTCCCTTCCATGCCCAAATCCTCCCTTTCCATCCTAAAATCCTCCCTTTCCATCCTAAAATCCTTCCCATCCCAAAATCTTTCCCTTTCCATCCCAAAATCCTCCCCTTCCATCTTGGGCTTGTCCCCTCCTCGGGTCTGGGGGCGTCCCCTGGTCCGGGGGGTGTCCCCTCGCCCCCTCCCCGGGGTCCGGGGGTGCCCCCTCGCCCCCTCGCCCCCTTCCTTCAGGGCTCGCCCCCTCCCAGGCCCCTCCGGACCCCCCCGAGCAGCTCCGGGGCCACCCCAGGGTGGGCGGTGCTCGCCCCCCGCCCCTCCCCTCCGCCCTCATGGTGACGTCACGTAGGCGGTGGCGATGAACCTGTGGCCACCGCTGGTCGTGGATTTGGTCCAGGGGTAGGTCTGGATGCTCAGGGGGTGCCCGCCCAGGCTCAGGTGGCATCTGTGGGGTCACTGCTGTCACCTGAGCCCCACGGGGGGGGGGCTCGGGGGGGCTCTGGGGGTCCCCACGGTCACGGAGCCCCTGAGCCCACAGGGCCACCCCCGGGGGGCTCCTGGTGTCCCCACACAGGGCTGGTCCATCCCAATTCCACCCCAATTCCATCCCCAATTCCACCCCCAATTCCATCCCCAATTCCACCCCAATTCCATCCCCAATTCCATCCCCAATTCCATCCCAATTCCATTCCCAATTCCATCCCAATTCCACCCCAATTCCACCCCAATTCCATCCCCATTTCCATCCCAATTCCATCCCGTTCCCATAAATCCCATCAAGCACATCCCCATCTTGATCCCATCCCCATTTCCTTTCCACCCAAAATCCCATCCCATCGATCCCACTGATCCCATCCCATCAATCCCGTTCCCATCCCATTGATCCCATCCTATCCCATTGATCCCAATAATCCCATCCCATTGATCCCATCTATCCCATCGATCCCATTGATTTTATCCCATCGATCCCATCGATCCCGTCCCATCCAGTCCCAAATCCAGGCCAAGCCTCGGCCCTGCTGTGGCTCGGGGAGGCCCCGCTGGCCCCACCCAGGACAGACAGACAGAAGGACAGATGGACAGAC